AAGCTGCACCGTGTAGACAGGCCAAGTGAGCAGCAGTTCACGCTGTTGGAGGAGACATGACCACGACATATAAGATGCTAAGGAATAATGACACCATAAGCCAAGGCACGGGTCGCAAAGACTGGGATCAAGAGGTTTCGCAGCGTTTGAGCTCTGAACGGTGTCATATATGCCAGGAGGAACTTGTGAGAGTGAGGGCGGTTACCTTGCGATCATTTCGGGGCTCAACGTCCCCGCGGCCCGGTCCTCGACCAGGCCGATGCACAAAGGTGGACAAACAGGTGAGAACAGAAGAATACACACGCACGCAAACACACTCCTGCACGCGCGTGTGCAGTGATGGGGCAACTGATCACACACAGTTTTAAATGAGGGGGATATAACAGAGACTAAGTAACCGCTACATCTCTCGAGTAAGGTGTGAGAGGCGGGACTCAAGAGCCAGAGCTCAACCCCCGCAAGCACAACTAGGTGAGTACACCTGACAAACTTGAACCAAAAAAGTCAAGATGTTAATTAGCAATGGAAATAAACTCAGAACTTCAACCAAATTAGGCCAATATATACACCTCCCGTGAGGACTCTGCCTTGAGGCCAGCCTATACCTGTATACTGTATACAGTATACCTGTATACTGTATACAGTATACCTGCTCACACCCTCCACGCCTGTATACTGTCATGTGTGTGTGTGTATACCTGCCCACACACCTGTATACTGTCATGTGTGTGTGTGTGTATTGTGTTACCAACACTGGTGGAGAGGGACTCTCACCAACACTGGTGGAGAGGGACTCTCACCAACACTGGTGGAGAGGGACTCTCACCAACACTGGTGGAGAGGGACTCACCAACACTGGTGGAGAGGGACTCTCACCAACACTGGTGGAGAGGGACTCACCAACACTGGTGGAGAGGGACTCTCACCAACACTGGTGGAGAGGGACTCACCAACACTGGTGGAGAGGGACTCACCAACACTGGTGGAGAGGGACTCACCAACACTGGTGGAGAGGGACTCACCAACACTGGTGGAGAGGGACTCACCAACACTGGTGGAGAGGGACTCTCACCAACACTGGTGGAGAGGGACTCACCAACACTGGTGGAGAGGGACTCACCAACACTGGTGGAGAGGGACTCACCAACACTGGTGGAGAGGGACTCACTAACACTGGTGGAGAGGGACTCACCAACACTGGTGGAGAGGGACTCTCACCAACACTGGTGGAGAGGGACTCTCACCAACACTGGTGGAGAGGGACTCACCAACACTGGTGGAGAGGGACTCACCAACACTGGTGGAGAGGGACTCACCAACACTGGTGGAGAGGGACTCTCACCAACACTGGTGGAGAGGGACTCACCAACACTGGTGGAGAGGGACTCTCACCAACACTGGTGGGGGGAGGTAAGTGTTCACCTCTCAGTAAAATCCATAGCTGTAATGTTCAACGACACGAAATGTTTGAAGTGGAGTCCCTGGCCTGCACTCTGTGTGTGTAGCCTGCCTGGCCTGCACTCTGTGTGTAGCCTGCCTGGCCTGCACTCTGTGTGTAGCCTGCCTGGCCTGCACTCTGTGTGTAGCCTGCCTGACCTGCACTCTGTGTGTGTAGCCTGCCTGGCCTGTACTCTGTGTGTGTAGCCTGCCTGGCCTGCACTCTGTGTGTAGCCTGCCTGGCCTGCACTCTGTGTGTGTAGCCTGCCTGGCCTACACTCTGTGTGTAGCCTGCCTGGCCTGCACTCTGTGTGTAGCCTGCCTGGCCTGCACTCTGTGTGTGTAGCCTGCCTGGCCTGCACTCTGTGTGTAGCCTGCCTGGCCTGCACTCTGTGTGTAGCCTGCCTGGCCTGCACTCTGTGTGTGTAGCCTGCCTGGCCTGCACTCTGTGTGTAGCCTGCCTGGCCTGCACTCTGTGTGTAGCCTGCCTGGCCTGCACTCTGTGTGTAGCCTGCCTGGCCTGCACTCTGTGTGTAGCCTGCCTGGCCTGCACTCTGTGTGTAGCCTGCCTGGCCTGCACTCTGTGTGTAGCCTGCCTGGCCTGCACTCTGTGTGTAGCCTGCCTGGCCTGCACTCTGTGTGTAGCCTGCCTGGCCTGCACTCTGTGTGTAGCCTGCCTGACCTGCACTCTGTGTGTGTAGCCTGCCTGGCCTGCAGTGTCCTGTACTAGAGTGTAGCCTGCCTGACCTGCACTCTGTGTGTGTAGCCTGCCTGACCTGCACTCTGTGTGTGTAGCCTGCCTGACCTGCACTCTGTGTGTGTAGCCTGCCTGACATGCAGTGTCCTGTACTAGAGTGTAGCCTGCCTGGCCTGCACTCTGTGTGTGTAGCCTGCCTGACCTGCACTCTGTGTGTGTAGCCTGCCTGACATGCAGTGTCCTGTACTAGAGTGTAGCCTGCCTGGCCTGCACTCTGTGTGTGTAGCCTGCCTGACCTGCAGTGTCCTGTACTAGAGTGTAGCCTGCCTGGCCTGCACTCTGTGTGTGTAGCCTGCCTGACCTGCACTCTGTGTGTGTAGCCTGCCTGACATGCAGTGTCCTGTACTAGAGTGTAGCCTGCCTGGCCTGCACTCTGTGTGTGTAGCCTGCCTGACCTGCAGTGTCCTGTACTAGAGTGTAGCCTGCCTGGCCTGCAGTGTCCTGTACTAGAGTGTAGCCTGCCTGGCCTGCAGTGTCCTGTACTAGAGTGTAGCCTGCCTGACCTGCAGTGTCCTGTACTTGTGAGTGTGCGCAGGACACTTCAATAACACTGCATGTTTAAGTATTCATACTTGTATACATTTTATACACGTGTCGGTGTTCATATACACCTGCCTGACACGCGCACACACACACACACACACACACACACACACACACACACACACACACACACACACACACACACACACACACACACACACACACACACGGACCTGCAGTCAATCAACTCAACCAGCAATTGAAACAAATGAGTGTTGTGTGAGTGTTGTTGTTGTTGTTCTAGCAGCAAAAATAACAGCAGGAACAGCAAAAACAGCAGCAGGTGCAGCAGCAAAAACAGCAGGAGCAGAAGCAAAAACAGCAGGAGCAGCAGCAGCAACAACAGCAGGAGCAGCAGTATTGCTGCAGTAATCCTGGCAATGTCCAAGCTTAGGTGTGCAGGCACAGTGTCTCCCACTGTTTAATTAATGAGTTGAGAGTGGTTTACCTGGCTGGGTGTTGGTGGGTGTTGGTGGGTGTTGGTGGGTGCTGGTGGGTGTTGGTGGGTGTTGGTGGGTGTTGGTGGGTGTTGGTGGGTGTTGTTGGGTCTTGGTGGGTAATGGTGGGTGCTTCTATGTCCTCCAGGATAACACTGTAGTATTTTCCCCGTCACCTATACTAGTGTTGATCCCCTACACTAACACCCGTGGTAGGGGTGTTGACCCCTACACTAACACCCGTGGTAGTGGTGTTGACCCCTACACTAACACCCGAGGTAGTGGTGTTGACCCCTACACTAACACCCGAGGTAGAGGTGTTGACCTCTACACTAACACCCGAGGTAGTGGTGTTGACCCCTACACTAACACCCGAGGTAGAGGTGTTGACCTCTACACTAACACCCGAGGTACAGGTGTTGACCCCTACACTAACACCCGAGGTAGAGGTGTTGACCTCTACACTAACACCCGAGGTAGTGGTGTTGTTGCCGGTACTCTGCACCACCGCACAGACCCCAGACGTCAGTGCGTCAAGCAGTGACCGGATCCGGTGACCGAGGCTCGTCGACGAGTGATGCTGGTCAGTCAGTCGGGTGTAACGCAGAGTGTACCGGTGTTCAGTCCCGCTATGTATATTGGCGGGTATGATGTCCTCCCGCCGGTGTCGCTGATGATGGCGTGGGAGAGGTTCCACAAGGCCAGTCGACGACGACCATGGGGCCGGTACCTTTGCATCCACAGAGTCGACGACCTTCTCCTCTCCTCCTCCGGTATACTGCGCCTCCCACGACCGCTTTCTGCTCCTCCGGTAAACTGGGGCGTCGACGACCATTCTGGGGGCTTCGACGATCATTCTGCGGCGTCGACGACCATTCTGGGGCGTCGACGACCATTGTGGGGCGTCGACGACCATTGTGGGGCGTCAACGACCATTCTGGGGCGTCGACGACCATTGTGGGGCGTCGACGACCATTGTGGGGCGTCAACGACCATTCTGGGGCGTCGACGACCATTGTGGGGCGTCAACGACCATTCTGGGACGTCGACGACCATTCTAGGGCGTCGACGACCATTGTGGGGCGTCGACGACCATTCTGGGACGTCGACGACCATTCTAGGGCGTCGACGACCATTCTAGGGCGTCGACGACCATTGTGGGGCGTCGACGACTATTCTGGGGCGTCGATGACCATTGTGGGGCGTCGACGACCATTGTGGGGCGTTGACGACCATTGTGGGGCGTCGACGACCATTGTGGGGCGTCGACGACCATTGTGGGGCGTCGACGACCATTGTGGGGCGTCGACGACCATTCTGGGGCGTCGACGACCATTCTGGGGCGTCGACGACCATTCTGGGAGCGCCGACGACCATTCTGGGAGCGCCGACGACCATTCTGGGAGCGTCGATGACCATTCTGAGGCGTCGACGACCATTCTGGGAGCGTCGACGACCATTCTGGGAGCGTCGATGACCATTCTGAGGCGTCGACGACCATTCTGGGAGCGTCGACGACCATTCTGGGAGCGTCGACGACCATTCTGAGGCGCCGACGACCATTCTGGGGGTACCTACGACCAGTCTCAAAGTCGAGAGCCAATCGGTTCCTCTACAAAATTTAATTTGCAGACGCAGGCAGTCGTGACCAACGAGAAGTGACCTCTTGTAGACCCGACCTGCGGCGCCTTGAGCGCAAGCCACTGCACGGAACAAGGACCTCGAACCAGGACCAGAAAGCATGCAAGAGACTCCCGGCTCACAGCATTGTCTGCTCCAACGACAGCCTCGTGGGCACCCACCATGGCATCATTCTCCAACAGTAATCAAGTTAACATTAAGTGGCTCTGTTGGCAGCATTTGTGGTGACCTGTAGCATTGTGGTGACCTGTAGCATTGTGGTGACCTGTAGCATTATGGTGACCTGTAGCATTGTGGTGACCTGTAGCATTATGGTGACCTGTAGCATTGTGGTGACCTGTAGCATTGTGGTGACCTGTAGCATTATAGTGACCTGTAGCATTATGGTGACCTGTAGCATTGTGGTGAGCTGTAGCATTGTGGTGACCTGTAGCATTATGGTGACCTGTAGCATTGTGGTGACCTGTAGCATTATGGTGACCTGTAGCATTGTGGTGACCTGTAGCATTGTGGTGACCTGTAGCATTATAGTGACCCTGTAGCATTATAGTGACCCCCAACTTTATGGTGGAGGCGCAGCATTAACTAGCAAGCATGCAGCAGCATTACGGGTAAGCAGTGTGGTCATGCTGTAGCGACACGTTGGTGGTGCTGATTATTGATCTATTACCACAGGGAGTTGTGACCGCTCAATACCATCAATTATTCACTAGTTTGGGAGTGGGGCAATGGTGGGGAGGGTGGGGGGAGGTGTTGGGGAGGGTGAGGTGGTGGGGAGGGTGAGGTGTTGGGGAGGGTGAGGGGGAGGTGTTGGGGAGGGTGGGGGGAGGTGTTGGGGAGGGTGAGGTGTTGGGGAGGGTGAGGTGTTGGGGAGGGTGAGGTGTTGGGGAGGGTGAGGGGAGGTGTTGGGGAGGGTGAGGTGTTGGGGAGGGTGAGGGTAGGTGTTGGGGAGGGTGGGGGGAGGTGTTGGGGAGGGTGAGGTGGTGGGGAGGGTGAGGGTAGGTGTTGGGGAGGGTGGGGGAGGTGTTGGGGAGGGTGGGGGGAGGTGTTGGGGAGGTGTTGGGGAGGGTGAGGTGTTGGGGAGGGTGAGGTGTTGGGGAGGGTGAGGGTAGGTGTTGGGGAGGGTGGGGGGAGGTGTTGGGGAGGTGTTGGGGAGGTGTTGGGGAGGGTGAGGTGGTGGGGAGGGTGAGGTGTTGGGGAGGGTGAGGTGTTGGGGAGGGAGAGGAAAGGTGTTGGGGAGGGTGAGGTGTTGGGGAGGGTGAGGGGAGGTGTTGGGGAGGGTGAGGGGAGGTGTTGGGGAGGGTGAGGGGAGGTGTTGGGGAGGGTGAGGGGAGGTGTTGGGGAGGGTGAGGGGAGGTGTTGGGGAGAGGGAGAGAGCTTGGTGGGAGGGAATATGGAATGTCTCATTGATATCGTTTATGAATAAGTGAGTATCTGAGTGTCTGTGTGAGTGAATACTCGAGTGCGTGAATGAGGGTTTGTTTACGTGAGTAAATATCTGAGGGGGTGAGTAAATATTTGTGGGAGTGCGTATATATATCTGAATAGTGAATATCTCTATGAATAGATGCCAGAGTGACCGAGTACCACCACCACCATCCCCTCATCCACCCTCACCATCACTACCACTAATATTACCACCACCACCATCAACTTCTGTCACCATCAATGCCGTCGCCACAGCCACCACCACCATCACCATCCACGGGGCCCAGAACCAGGCCACACTCGGGGAGCAGTGTCCTCACTGCCAGCAAGGTCAACAAGACGACAGTGACACATGACGCCAGAACAAAGCACGGTAGCACTGAACAAGCAGCAGTGTGCAGGGAACGCACACAGCGAGTCCAAACAGCCTGAGCAGCACCTGAAGTACACACCCGCAGCATAACCACACAGGGAGCAACACACCCCAGCATAAGACCACCGAGTCACCACACTACAGGGAGAAGAAGGAACAACTATAGAGAACGATAAAGAAGTGTGTGTGACGAACTCAACAAGCTAGCCTAGCAGGTCAAGAAGCTAGAAGAATAAGTTGGGGAAGTCACCTCCATGCACAATTTTAAGCCGAAATTCAACCACAAATTTGAACGTCAGGAAATGCACCTTACACTAAAAGGACTAAAAGGTAGTTACTGAGGATACAGAACAACCTCATTCCCCCCCCCCCCCAGTAACTGTTAGATAAGGCCCGCCCCCACTACCACCCCAACCACCACTACCACCACAACCACCACAACTATACCGCCAATTCGTACCAATAACCATCAACCTCGATACCTAAACGTGTACGCTTCTGGTTAGACCAAAACTACTTCATATTTAGACGATGAGTCACAACAACGGGGTTAAAGATATAATGACCCAACCACTCACCAGAAGACGAGGAGACGACGACGTTTCGGTCCGTCGTGGACCATTCTCAAGTCGGTGACGAAACGTTGTCGTCTCCTGGGTCGTTTGGTGTTTGGTCTGGTCATCAATTCACATTTGACGGTTGTGAGGTAGTGGGAAGAGGCTGCCTCCAGTACCCATTGTCAGTGGTTATCACTCCACCGTGTACTGGAGTTCGTCAGTGTACTGTGATGTACTAGCTGTGCCCAGTGTACACTGTTCTACTATACTGTACAGTACTGCTCTACGTCGCTACAATCTATTCTTCTTTGGCGAACTGTATCGCACTATTATGTCTACTGTCTACTTGGCATATATGTCTACTGTCTACTTGGCATATATGTCTACTGTCTACTTGGCATATATGTCTACTGTCTACTTGGCATATATGTCTACTGTCTACTTGGCATATATGTCTACTGTCTACTTGGCATATATGTCTACTGTCTACTTGGCATATATGTCTACTGTCTACTTGGCATATATGTCTACTGTCTACTTGGCATATATGTCTACTGTCTACTTGGCATATATGTCTACTGTCTACTTGGCATATATGTCTACTGTCTGCTTGGCATATATGTCTACTGTCTGCTTGGCATATATGTCTACTGTCTACTTGGCATATATGTCTACTGTCTACTTGGCATATATGTCTACTGTCTACTTGGCATATATGTCTACTGTCTACTTGGCATATATGTCTACTGTCTACTTGGCATATATGTCTACTGTCTGCTTGGCATATATGTCTACTGTCTACTTGGCATATATGTCTACTGTCTACTTGGCATATATGTCTACTGTCTACTTGGCATATATGTCTACTGTCTACTTGGCATATATGTCTACTGTCTACTCTGGCGAATCCTCCTGTATTCTGGTAAAGGAAGAAAGAAAGAAAGAAAGAAAGAAAGAAAGAAAGAAAGAAAGAAAGAAAGAAAGAAAGAAAGAAAGAAAGAAGGAAGAAAGGAAGGAATGAAGGAAGGAAGGAAGGAAGAAAGGAAGTACTAGATTGACTAACATCTGGGTACAGAGTAGGGTGAAGTGGATGAATTGTGACAGAGTGCTATTGTATGGTACTGCCCCCCCCACCTCCCCTCCCTCACTTCTCCCCCCTCACTTCTCCCCCCTCCTCCCCTCACTTCCTCCCCCCCGCCCCCCTCCCTCCATCGTCCCCCCCCTCCCTCCATCGCCCCCCCCCCCGGTCACACCGCCCCCAGCCCCCCCTACACAGGTAGATAATTGACCGCCCAGCTCAGGTATCGACTTCACTCTTGCATAATTGAGTGAGTGAACTCGCCGGTGCTCTCTGGATTATTCCCCGCCTCCACCTTCATTCCTTTCACTCTGACTGCTGGCCGGTTTTTTTTTGTTCACTCTGTGATTTACTTCCTGTTAGACTGGGCGTTCACTCTCTGCTTAGGGTTCACTCTGTGTTCCCATTCTCTGTTTTGAACTTTCACTCAACTGAACTTTGACTGTATTCACTCTTTATTATATCTTTAATACACACGCTGGGTAGCTATGTATATGCTACTGCACTTTGGTGTATTTTGCTATGATTATACACCTTATATTTCACTCTAGTTACATGCTGTATGTTTCACTCTGGGTACATACTATATGTATATATATTTCACTCTAGTTACATGCTGTATGTTTCACTCTGGGTACATACTATATGTATATATATTTCACTCTAGTTACATGCTGTATGTTTCACTCTGGGTACATACTATATGTATATATATTTCACTCTAGTTACATGCTGTATGTTTCACTCTGGGTACATACTATATGTATATATATTTCACTCTAGTTACATGCTGTATGTTTCACTCTGGGTACATACTATATGTATATATATTTCACTCTAGTTACATGCCTGCCTTCTGTTCAACAACGTAATTTACTTCAATTTGACTCTAAGCATTTGAGTTCACACTTATATTACACTTAATTATTCACTCTGGTCACATGTTCTGTGTTTCACTCTGACAACGAATTTTCTTTCAATCTGTTTATTCACTTTTTTCACTCTCTTTGTGTCACTTAGAGTACACATTCGATATAATTTCACTCAGGATTGATATTTTGTTTCACTCGGGTGAGAAATTCGTTTCACTCACACTTGAACTTCGCAATGCACTCAAATATACACCCTTTTTTTTACTCTGCCACACACACGTGTAAGAGTTCACTCCTTGCACTCAACATATATACATACTATCTATATATAACCCTGCATTACACGCACTATTGAGTGTAGCCGCACTAGAAGGTGCTGGTGCACTCTGGCCGTCACTCTAAGCACACGCTGAAACCAGTGTCCCTGGGTGGTGGTGGTGGGGGGGGGAGGTACTCAGAAGTCCCCACTCAGACATTGTCAAGATGTTTTCAAGAAGCACAAGTTGGTGATACGTCACGGGCCACGTCCTTCCCTCACCTGTCTCCTCGGTCACGAGCAGCCAGGCCAGGAGGAGACGAAGAGGAGAAGGAAGAGAAGGAGAAGGAGAAGGAAGAGGAGAAAGAGAATGAGTAGGAGACAGCGCGCGAGGAAGCGCCATGGAGGATCAAACCCCCATAAACAGAGTAGGACCCAAGAAGGAGCCATACAAGCCTTTAGGGAGCACAGTAGAATGATATATATATATATATATATATATATATATATATATATATATATATATATATATATATATATATATATATATAATCATACTACCATCATAAACAATTTGGCTTCAAATAGGAAAAAAGGGATGAGTGTTTAAGACCAAATAAAATTATTCAGGAGAGAAATTGAGGCGCGGATTCACTTATTGGGATTATAAAAAAGCTCTTCACAAAAAAAAGATTAATTTGGAATTTTAATTAAAAATGTAGGAGGTATATAGAGTAACTCTGGTGCAGTGAACGGCAGCCTTCTCGCCAGAAAGGAAAATTCAAACATTTTGGGTCGTTGTTAGCACTGCGAGAGATTGTTAGCACATAGGAAGTTATCAGCACAGCATGAAGGAATGGAACTAGCATAAACAGGTGTAAGGGGAACCAGCCCCCACAACAACAGGTGTAAGGTGAACCAGCCCCCATAACAACAGGTGTAAGGGGAACCAGCCCCCATAACAACAGGTGTAAGGGGAAC